TGTGTGTCTACCATTAGAAGTGGGTGGATGCAGGGCGGTATATTCTAAAGGTGGGCATACCAGACACTTTTTCTGGCAGAGATTTCTCCTCTTTTTTCATTCAACCCACAGGCTGCATAAAAAAAAAAGAACATAGCATATACACCCAACAAGGACCAGTGACATACTGGTACATCACTGGACTTTGAGTGGTTATACCAGGATGATGCCTGCAGCTCCAGGCATCATCCTGGTTTAATCTTTTTCAGCCAGCGATGGGCTTTCATGTAAAAGCAATCCTAGTGGCTAATTAGTTGCAGGATTGCTTTTACAAGCAGCGGGAAAGGATGCCCCCCCTCCCCTGCTGCCTTCCACGGTCTGCTCATGCAGTCCCGTGCCATCGGGGGAACCTGGGAATGCAGCCGGTGTTTCTGCCAACTGACCATAGAGCTGATTAGAGACCAGAATGGTGCCAATCATCTCTATAGTCTAAGAAATCGGAAGCTACGAGCATTTCCTCACTTCAGTTTCGCAGGATACAAACAGCGCCATTTGTAAATTGGGAAAGCGTCTGATCACACCGATCTTGGTGAGATTAGATAATGTAAGGGCAGGGGAGATATCTAGAGTCTGATAGACCCCAGATTTCCCAAAAAAGAATATATGACAATGCATATTGAAGTTATAGGGGATATTTGAATTCCCTGTGATAGCATTAAAAGTGATCAAAAAAAAATGAAAGGGACAGTGTAAAAATAATTAATAAAATCAAAATAACTTAAAAAAAAAAAGTACCCTCGCCCCCCCCCCGCACCTGTGTGCACAAGCATTGACCCCGTGCCAGTATGTAAACAGTGGTTGCACTATGCATGTGGGGTATTGCTATGAACGTCAGATCAAGGGAAGTAATTCTAGCTCTAGACCGCCTCTGTAAATCTAAAATGGTAGCTTGTAAAGGCTTTTAAAGCGTTGCCTATGGATATTAAAAATGTATGCAGTTTGTCGCCATTGCACGAAGCATGCGCAGTTTTAAAGCATATCATGTTTGGTATCTATTTACTCGGCATACCATTCTCTTTTATATTTTACCTAATAATTGACCAATATATTGTGTTTTTGTGCATAAAAATTAAAAAAAGTGTTTTTTTTTTTTAAAATTGCGTTTGAAAAATCACTGCGTAATTACTATGTGACATAAAAAATTGCAGCACTCACCATTTTATTCACTAGGGTGTCTGCTTTAAAAAATATATAATGTTTGGGGGTTCAAAGTAATTTCCTAGCAAAAATACAGATTTTTTTCATGTGAACAAAAAGTGTCAGAAAAGGCTTGGTCTTCAGGAGGTTAGAAGAGTGAGTGATGTGTGGCATAAATTTCTAATGCTGGGCATAAAATGCCCCACCCCCAAAATGACTCCTTTTTGGAAAGTAGACACCCCAAACTATTTGCTGAGAGGCATTTTGGGTGAATAGAAGAATTTATTTTATTACCCCAAGTTTTTGGATAATGACAAAAAAATAATAAATTTTTTTACACAAAATTGTCACTTCAATAATTTATTGCTCACACATGCCATGGGTATATGTGGAATTACTCCCCAAAATACATTCTGCTATTTGGGGGTACCACATGTGAGAGAAGTGTTGGCAGTCTAGCCAAGTACAGGACCCCAAAATTCAATAAGCACCTTCAGGCTTTTAAAGGGCTTTATTTCCTCATTACACTTCCTGACTACCTATCACAGTTTCGGAGGCCCTGAAATGCCAAGATAGCAAAACCCCCCCACCCCCACCCACAATGACCCATTTTTGGAAAGTAGACACCCTAAGGAATTTGATAAAAAGCTTTGTGAGTATTTTGCAGATCTTGTTTGTTGCCAAATGTTTTTGGAAAATGAAGAAAGAAAACAAAAACATATTTTTTCTTTTCTTTTTTAAATTTCAAAACCTTGCGGGAGGCTTGGTGCTCTACGGGCATTTCAGGGCTTCCGAAACTGTGATAGGTAGTGAGGAAGTGTAATGAGGAAGTTACGCATCGTTGGGCTTTCAAAATGGTCATTGGATTTCAGGCTCCTGTATGTGGCTAGGCTCCCAAAAACTCTCACACATGTGGTATCCCCATACTCAGTAGACGTAGCAGAATGTATTTTGGGGTGTAATTCCACATATACTTATGGCTTTTGTGAGCAATATATCATTTAAGTGACAACTTTGTGTAAAAAAAAAATGTTTTTGTCATTTTCCAAAAACTTGTGGAAAAAAATAAATCTTCCATGGACTCAATATGCCTCTCAGCAGATAGCTTAGGGTGTCTACTTTCTGAAAAGGGGTTATTTGGGGGTGTTTGTACTGTCCTGGTATTTTAGCACCTAAAGAAATGTGATAGGCAGTCAGAAAGTAAAAGCTGTGTAAATTCTATTATCTATACCATAGTTTGTAGATGCTATAACTTTCACACAAGCAATCAATATACACTTATTGGGATTTTTTATCAAAAACATGTAGCAGAATACATTTTGGACTATACAGGTGAAACTCGAAAAATTAGAATATTGTGCAAAAGTTCATTTATTTCAGTAATGCAACTTAAAAGGTGAAACTAATATATGAGATAGACTCGTAGCATGCAAAGCAAGATAGTTCAAGCCGTGATTTGTCATAATTGTGATGATTATGGCTTACAGCTCATGAAAACCCCAAATCCACAATCTCAGAAAATTTGAATATTACATGCAATCAATAAAACAAGGATTTTACATAGAACAATATCGGACCTCTGAAAAGTATAAGCATGCATATGTACTCAGTACTTGGTTTGGGCCCCTTTTGCAGCAATTACTGCCTCAATGCGGAGTGGCATGGAAGCTATCAGCCTGCGGCACTGCTGAGGTGTTATGGAAGACCAGGATGCTTCAATAGCGGCCTTCAGCTCTTCTGCATTGTTCAGTCTCATGTCTCTCATCTTTCTCTTGGCAATGCCCCATAGATTCTCTATGGGGTTCAAGTCAGGCGAGTTTGCTGGCCAATCAAGCACAGTAATCCCACGGTCAGGTTTTGGTGCTTTTGGCAGTGTGGGCAGGTGCCAAAATGAAGTCAGCATCCCCATAAAGCTCGTCTGCGGAAGGAAGCATGAAGTGCTCCAAAATCTCCTGGTAGATGGCTGCGTTGCCCCTGGACTTAATGAAGCACAGTGGACCAACACCAGCTCCCCAAATCAACACAGACTGTGGAAACTTCACACTGGACTTGTGCCTCTCCATTCTTCCTCCATACTCTGGGTCCTTGGTTTCCAAATGAGATGCAAAAGTTGCTCTCATGAGAAAAGAGGACTTTGGACCACTGAGCAACAGACCAGGTCTGTTTTTCTTTAGCCCAGTAAGACGCCTCTGACGTTGTTTGTTGTTCGGGAGCGGCTTGACAAGAGGAATACAACATTTGAAGCCCATGTCAAGGATCCGTCTGTGTGTGGTGGCTCTTGATGCACTGACTCCAGCCTCAGTCCACTCCTTGTGAAAGTCCCCAACACTTCTGAATGGCCTTTTCCTGACAATCCTCTCCAGGGTGCGGTCATCCCTGCTGCTTGTGCACCTTTTTCTTCCACACTTTTCCCTTCCACATAACTTTCTATTAATGTGCTTTGATACAGCACTTTGGGAACATCCAACTTCTTTTGCAATTACCTTTTGAGGCTTTCCCTCCTTATGGAGGGTGTCAATGATGGTTTTCTGCACAAGTGTCAGGTCAGCAGTCTTTCCCATGATTGGGATTCCTACTGAACCAGACTGAGAGACCACTAAATAAGCTCAGGAACCCTTTGCAGGTGTTATGGCTTAATTAGCTGATTAGAGTGGGACACTTTGACCCGAGAATATTGCACCTTTTCACAATATTCTAATTTTCTGAGATTGTGGATTCAGGGTTTTCATGAGCTGTAAGCCATAATCATCACAATTATGACAAATCACAGCTTGAACTATCTTGCTTTGCATGTAATGAGTCTATCTCATATATTAGTTTCACCTTTTAAGTTGCATTACTGAAATAAATGAACTTTTGCACGATATTCTAATTTTTCAAGTTTCACCTGTATTTATGATGACATTTGAGTTTATTGGATATTCTTTCAGAATTTTCGGTCTTTTTTTGTTTATAGCACCAAAAATAAAAAGTGCACAGGTGATCGAATACCACCGAAAGAAAGCTCTATTTGTGTGAAAGAAAGGACATAAATTTTGTTTCGGTACAGCTTTGCATGACTGCGCAATCGTCAGTTAAACTAGTGCAGCGCTGTATAGCAAAAAAATGGAGTAAATTGCAGCATCTATACCATAGTTTGTAGATGCTAGAACTTTCACACAAAGCAATCAATATTTACCAAAAATATGTAGCAGAATACATTTTGGCATAAATTTATGACTAACTTTGAGTTTACTTTTTGCCACCTCATCCCTTTAAAACCAAACACATATTAATTACACAGGTTCTGTGGCTGATTAAGGTGGTAATTAAACTCACTAAGTGGCTTATCTGCATTAAACTAGCCATAGAACCTGTGTAATTAACCCCTTGCCCTCCTGAGGATTTACCCCTCTTCCTGACCAGGCCATTTTTTTTCGTTACGGCGCTGAGTTAATTTAACTGACAACTGCACGGTCATGCAACGCTGCACCCAAATGAAGTTTACGTCCTTTTTTTCCCCACAAATTGAGCTTTCTTGTAGTGGTAGTTGATCACCTGTGCATTTTTTATTTTTGCGCTATATAAAAAAAAGACCAACTATTTTCAGAAAAAAAAACAATAGTTTTGACTTTTTGCTATTAAACATGTCCAGCAAAGAAATAAAAAAAAATAAATTTCGTCATACATTTAGGCCAAAATGTATTCTGCTACATGTCTTTGCTAAAAAAAAATCCCAATACATGTAAATGAATTGGTTTATGTGAAAGTGATAGCGTTTACAAATGGCGATATATATACTGGATTTTTTTTACTTGTATTGGCAGGGATCAGCAACTTATAGTGGGCCTTCTGACACTGGGGGGAACTGACTTGGTGTCACTGACATCCCCAGGGACACCAATACAGTGATCAGTGCTAAAAAAAAAAAGCACTGACACTGTTCTAATGACACTGGGCAGGAAGGGGTTAATATGTGGGATGATCAAAGGGTTAACTGTGTGCAGGGAGTGTTTTACTGGGGGGCGGTGTGTTGGTGCTTCACTGTAAGCACACTGATCTGGATGGCTGTGCTGTGCACAGCTATCCAAAGCAGTGTGTCCGAGCTGACAGGGAGGAGAACTGTTAGTAAACAAAGCAGCCCTCCTCCCCATCGGAGATCCTCTGTAATCACCAGGCACCAGCGGGTAATCACCATCCGGGACCCAGTGATTGACAGCTGCCGACGTGAATGGCGGCATGGGTACGGCGCACGCCCCCTACCCGGAAATACAAAATCACATATATATATGTGATTTTGTGCACCCCTGCTGCCCTGTAGTAGTATATCTGCTATAGGGTGGCGGGGATGTGGTTAATATGTTTTCGGTTTTAGAGGGATGAAGTGGCAACCCCAAGCAGAACCAATTCACCCATCCACACACTTGTTGTGGATGGGAGAATCCCTCCTGCTGTGCTATTGTATTCTGACAGCAAGGAGATTTCCCTACCAGCTGAATAGAATGATCATTGTTGCCAGCTATTGCCGGAAGCATTGATCATTCATGAAAAAAAAAACGGATATTATGGAATTATGGAGTAAAAAAAAAGAAAAAAAACAGACAAACTGATTGTACACAAGTCTTTCGATAAAGCAACTTTTGTATTAGGCCATACATGCATCGAAATTTGGCTGGTTCAGCAACTGCCAGAAATTCAATCCATGTATGGCCGGCTTTAGTCATCCAGTTAGGGTTAAAGCGGAGCTCCACCCAAAAGGGGAAGTTCTGTTTTAAGGACTGGTCCCTTCTCCCTGTTAATTGGCACCTTTGGGGAGCAGTGGGGGATCGGGTATTCGAAATTGACAGGTACCTTCTCCTACTTCTGTGATCGCCTAGGCCAGGGATGTCAAACTGGCGGCCCTCCAGGTGTTGCGAAACTACAAGTCCTATCATGCCTCTGCCTTTGGGAGTCATGCTGGTAACTGTCATTCTTGCAATGCCTCATGGGACTTGTAGTTTTGCAACAGCTGGAAGGCCGCCAGTTTGACACCTTTGGCCTAGGCGATCAGAAGTGGAAGTTTTTTTCTGGGACACGTGAGACTACGGGGCCATTCACAAAGCGCAGAGCTACTCATGAATGCACCATGAGCACCTGGCTGTGAAGCCGCAAGCTGTCACAGCCGGATGCCCTCAATGAAGATACTGGTGCCGGGAACGCCGAATGGCCACTGAAACGGGCTGTAGGGAGGACATCGCAGGATTGAAGGACGGGTGAGTGGCTGTTTTGTAAAAGTCAGCATGTCACAGTTTTTGTAGCTGCTGACTTTTTTTTTTTTTTTACAGTTTCACTGTAACTCCACTTTAGATTCACTTTTTTTTTATTAATTATATCTTTTATTTGATTTTTCCAGTACAAAAAGAAGAACAATTTGATTACAGAAAATATTTCACATATATATACTTCCATTTTACCCCAACATTGACCTCACCCTCCCCTCAGCCTCCTTCCTATTATATATTCTCTCATAATTATCTGTCTAGATCTGAATCTACTCACACTCAGATTCGCCATTAAGGCTCTCTCCTACCTTCCCCTTCAGCTCCTACCAATTCCGTGTATCTTTTAGAGGTTTTACATTTTCACCAACTATGCCAGATTTTCTTAAATTTCTCTAATTTATCGTAATTTATCCTCTTCTTTGTGATATAATTCTTCCATCCTATAGATATTTTCTAATCTATTTATCCATTCATTAACGCTTGGTGCTTCTGGAACCTGCCAAAACATGGGGATCAAAGCAGCATTGATTAGGTGATAACTTTAAGATTCACCTTAAATTGAATGACACTCAATCAACTTCAAAGCAGAAAGCCTTGTAAACTACAGGTCTTCCACATGGTAATCTAGGCAAATGTCCTAATGCACACAACAAAAGAAAAGTCACCACCATCTCTTCAGGGGCCTGCAGAGATGGCAGATGGAGACAGAAGGACAGTGAGTTATCTTCCTGAACCAGCAGTAGGTCTTCATACAATGGAATTTACATACAACATGGCAGCACAGGCTTACAGAAAGAATTGTCTCATTTGCAAGATAACAGGCAACAATGGCCACAGGAAGCACCAGACTCCTTGACTCCTTATGTGCATTTAAATTACATATGCAAAGTCCTTTGAATTAGGAAGTCTGTAAATACTGCTAGATTCTAAATTGGCAACACTGTGTGATCCCAAGATAAAGATAAAAGCTTTAGCCCTAAATGTAAAAAATGCCACTTTCATAGGGATTGTATGATAATCTGATCATTAGTACGCAGCAATTTACTTAAATTACTGAAATTACTTGAAAGGATAAGCACGAAAATTTTTGTTGTACAAGATCGTATGATTTTCTTTTAACCAGTACAATTTTTGTCTGAAAATACAACACAAATATATTACAATACATCACTTCCAAATTCTTATTCTGCCTACAAGAATTTTTGTAACTTTGATAACCTCTTCATTTTCGATGAGACTAGCATGCATGCAAAAAAAAAAAAAAAACCGATCAGACGATCATTCGTCCAATATTTTCAATGTGTATATGGGGTTTAAGTCAGCCATGAGTAAAGAATTTAAAAAAAAACAAGAGACCTGTTTTTGGCCTTCTCAGCAGGTCATAGTCGGGAAAGCCTGAACCAGGAAATTAACTTTGCTTTCATGATATAGATAAGGTGTTAAACAAAGTTGAAACACATAAAAAGAAAGTTTTATTTGGTTAATTCACTTATTCCTTTTTTTTTTTTTTTAACCACTTGCCCCCCAGAGATTTACCTCCCTTCCTGATCAGGCCATTTTTTGCGTTACGGCGCTTTCTTACTTTAACTGACAGTTGCGCGGTCATGCAACATTGCACCCAAATTAAACTTAATCCTTTTTTTTTCCCACGAATAGAGCTTTCTTTCGGTGGTAATTGATTGCCTATGCAGTTTTTTATTTTTTGCACCAACAATTTTGAGAAAAAACAATATTTTTGACTTTTGCTATCAAACATGTCCAGTAAAAAATGTAAAAAATCAAATTTCGTCATAAATTTAGGCCAACATGTATTCTACTACATGTCTATGCTAAAAAAAAAATCCCAATACGTGTAAATTAATTGGTTTACATGGACTTTATAGCGTTTACAAATGGCGGTATATATACTGGGATTTTTTTTTTACTAGTAATGGTGGCGATCTGTTACTTATAGTGGGACTGCAGGACTGCAGCAGGTATTCTGGCACTGGGGGGGGCTGACTTGGTGTCACTGACATCTCCAGTGACACCAATACAGTGATCGGTGCTAATAAAAAGCTCTGACATCGTACTAATGTCACTGGGCAGAAAGGTGTAATATCTGGGGCAATCAAAGGGTTAACTGTGTGCTGTTTTTACTACGTGGGCTGTGTGTGTGCTTCACAGTAATCACACTGCTTTGTATGGCCCTGCTAAGCAGAGCCATGCAAAACAGTGTGCAGGAGCTGACAGTGGAGAGAACTGTATTGTTTACATACAGTTCTCTCCATTCATCAGTAATGCTCCTCAATCACCGGGTGCCGGCGAGTAATCACATGCTGGGACCTGGTAATTGGCAGCCAAGGCCATGAATATACGTGATTTTGCACACCCATGTCACCCTGTAGCAGTATTAGGGGCGGTTAATCACCACAAGGGGTGGTATGTATATGCAAGCATTCCTTGTGCTGGTGGCTCTGGTCTTATGAGAAAATCAGATGAAAAATACTGCTTTTGAAGCGATCGTCCGATCATTGGTACACAGCTTTCAAGAGATGATCATGACAGTTCATGCAAAATTATCTGAAGGGACAAGCATGAAAATGTTTCTTGTACGATACGAGAACAAACCATTTCCGCTTAATCAGTAGAGTATTTGTCTGAAAAAATTGGAGTGACTGAGACCACGCATGCTCATAAACAAAAGAATACAATTACAAATACAATAAAATACAATACATCACATCACCTCCGAAGTTGTATTCTGTCTTATGAGAATTTTCAGAACTTTAGTAACCTCTGCTTTTTCGACATGAGATGATCATCTGTCAGATATTCTCATTGTGTGTACAATGTAGTTGAAATCCTCCATCCTCTGCCCTCCACCCCCACTGGCCATACCCCAGCAGTGGTAGTGCTACAGGAGTTAATACAGCCACTGGACCTGTCATAGGCACTCATCATGGGTGCTAACTATGCCCCACCCTTTTTGCTCCCCTCCTCCATTCATAGAAGCTGAACTATAGCTTATATCAATGAAAAGCACTCTATAAATGGAGGATGGGCAGATCCTAATTTGTCTGCTATCCTCCATTCATGGAGCATTTTTCAGTAATGGAAGCTGTCTCTGTCCCTTGGCACCATCGCGTCCAGTGCAGGGCTATGGATCCTGCTTCAGTCTTGTTGATGTCAGAGGATCTTAGAACACCAGAGCAAAGAGGAGAAGAGGCTGCAGGGACCTGTCTAGCAGTGCAAGGGAGCCCTGTGGGAGAGCAATATCTGGCATGTCAAACTGCTGTACTCGGTTCCCTAGACAAGCAGTTAATCCCATGGTACAGCTCCACTGCAAAGGAGGTCTTTTAATTTTCACATTTAAAGCAAGACAACTAGCACTTTTACAAGGAGGTCAGCAATGGCACCATACATGTCTACAATAAAAAGGCTCATTTTAAATTCTGTTCATACAAATGAAGTGCCATTCTAAAATCTCTTCATTTTGGGGTGCACATAATAATTTTTTTTTCATTATATATAAACTCTCAGAATCTCTTCTTTAAATACATTGTATTTCTCAAGCCTTTATCTAGGGATGATGCATGTATTTATGTAATATTTTATTTACTTTTGTTTAGCAAAAGAAGAGTGGCTGTACAGCTAGTGCTTAAGTAATTAAAGCACGGATTCTCAAATGTGCCCCTCGTGGCCTTTGTTTGAAAGATCGTAAGGGCTTCCATGCCGAAAGAACACACTAATTAGTCCAAATGAGAGGACATGAAGACAAGTAATTATCCCACCAATTTTCTGTTTAATTCTAATTTGCTTGGTGATATGCTCAATACCATGTAAATCATAAATTGTACATCAAACATATTTAATGAAGGGGGTGCAATACCACAACGTATCTATATTCTTAAACATACTGGGGGTTATTTACTAAAACTGGAGAGTGCAAAATCTGGTGCAGCTCTGCATAGAAACCAGTCAGCTTCCAGGTTTTATTGTCAAAGCTT